GGGGGGGGGGGGGGGGGGGCTGGTGTTGCCTGGCCTCCCTGGGGGGAGACCATATGGTGGTCTGGATGCCAAGAGAAAAAAACAGCTCACAGGTCTCTCTGCCCCAGCCACCCGGAGGAAGCTGTTTGAACTGGCCCGGGCCTTCTCCGAGAAGACCAAAATGAGGAAGTCCAAGAGGAAGCACTTGCCGAAGCATCCATCGTATCCTTCCAGCCTGGCTCTGGGTGGTGTGGTGGATGCCAAAGGCCCTGATTGAGACCCCAGCTGGACTCCCCCAGGCTCTGTCCTCCCCAGGAGTGGGCCCTGGCTTTGTAGCCTCCCTTTGGCTCTGGGAGCCAGGCCGCCAGCTGGCTGCCCATCACTTGGAACACCAGGGGCCAGACGTGGGGAGTGGGGGAGTGGCTTTGGGCTTCCCTCTGTGGAAAGTTCTCCTTGGGAGAAAAATTGAATCACTGAGTTCATTTGAAATGAGCAAACCTTTTCCTAATTTCTCTAGTTGAACTGGTCCACAGTCCTCCTGTGTCCTCATCTTAGTTGCCTTCTCACTTTTGGTTCCTTGAGTAGAAATTAAGTAATTCAAGCCAGACATGATGGCACATACCTGCAATCCCAATGAATTGGGAAGCTAAGTCAGGAGGATCACAAGTTCAAGCTCAGTCTGGGCAACTTAACATAGACCTTGTCTAAAAGGAGCAGGGAGGTAGCACAGTGGTAAAGTGTCCCTGGGTTCAATCCCTAGTACTAGGGGGAAAAGAAAAAATTTTTTCCACATTTTTACCTAAACTCCCATCCTTTCTTGTGAAACAGGGCCCAGGATATTAAAAGCTAAACAGCAAAAGGGGAGCAGAGAGAAAGTTGCTCTCCTGTTCCCAGGGATGGGAACAAAATGAGAGGGTTGGGGCCTGGTTGCTCAGCTGACGCCCAAGAAAGGAACTAGCAGTATTGGGGTGTTGTGGGGTAGGAGAGATAGGTATAAGCCTCTGGGGTTTGGGGATGGGATGGGGTGTGGCAGTACTTGTCATCTCTGGGACTGTGTTCCTGAACAGCTGGACAGGCTGGGGGCTGCTGCATCAACAGCTAATCTTCTGGAAGACGTGGAGGGCCATGCTTGTGGTGAGGCAGGGAGGGGACCCTTAAGCTCTGTCTTGCCTGTGCTGGGTGACCCTACAAGAGGAGCCTGGGTGTTCCATGTCAGGGAGGAGGCACCCAACCAGGGGACAGACACATCAAAAGTTGGTGGGCAGGTGATCCAAAGAAGGGTGGTACACAATGCCTGCCCCTTGTTACAGTCCCTGAAAGGGGATCCAGCCCCTCTTCCACCTGTCTCTACCTATAGCACAAAGCACCAGGCACTGGAATATTCTGGGCARTATTTCCAGAGTGTGAGGGAAAGACAGGACTGCCCACATGAAGAACCGAGCACTAGGCAGCTTTAGTCTGAGGGCCCACAGACTTTTCAGCTTTCACTAAGTCCCTTCCAAATGCCACAGGGGCCAGAGGACCCTGCCTCAGACCCTACAGGCTGCACATAGCTGAACCTCATGCCATTGGGCCTTAGAAAGAAGGACTAGAGGACCTTGGAGGTCATCTAGATAGTCCAACTTCCCCATCCCATTTTATGGATAAGGAAAGTGAGGCCCAAAGAAGAGGAAAGAACTTGTCCAAGGTCTGAGCTCAGTGATGAGTCAGACCAACCCCCGGGTGTCGTGTTGCCTCTTTCATCAGACCCAAGCACTGGCCACCCGGGAATTAGCACGGGTCCCATCAGACAGAGGGGGCAGAATGAGTCAGGGTCGCTCTCTTGTGCATCCTGGGGACATCCTGAGTGAGGCCTGCAGGGTGGATGATGAGGCAGTCCCTCTGCATTTTAGATGAAGACTTTCGGGGAAAGCGGCAGGAGGTGCCCAAGGTGGAAGAAGCCCTGAGAGAAGGACAGTAAGAGGTAAGTCCTGGAGCCACAGCTGCCTGGGACTGCCCAAGGGCAGAACCCACCACACCCTACACCCCCTGTCTTCCCAAGGGTCCAGAGGTGCTGGGTTCAAGTAGCTGGGTAGTGCAGATCCTKGGTCTCTTCCCTCGTGTGGTGGCTGGGGATATGGGCTTCTGCATACAAACCCGTCTTTGGCATTTCTTTTATTTAGCTCTTTATTCATTTGACAAAAGGTAATCATACCTGCCTTTGACAGATGCTAGGAAAACAAAATCAGCTTTTGACCTTGAATAGTTTCTAGCCCAGTTGAGAAGATAGACCAGGACACACGTGGCACACTGAGAAGACAGTTGAAGAAAATCTAGGTGCCACCCCCCTCTGCCCTAACTATGTCCAGTCCCCTGCTTGGGTTGGATGATCTGGGGTCTGTGGTGGCTGCCGCCCACTGGTCCCAGACTGTTTCTCCTGTCTCCCTGTGCGCCTCTCTGGGAATGAACAGAGAATGCAGACCCCTCCTGTAGGACTTGAGCACATCTGCCCCTTTCAGCCCCTCGCCCTGCATCCATTTACTTCTGCCTCCTCCACCCTTTCCCCATCCTGTCCTGAATTCTTCTTGTGTGCACACATCTACACTGTGTGCCCACGTCTACACTATGTGCCCACAGTCCTTCCTGAAACCTTCCCTGGGCTCTGGTAACCCTGGGGAGCCCTGGCTCTCATTCCTCCCTGCCAGGCTTCTGTTGCTCCTCCCACTCCCTAAATACCCACTTGTTGCTCTATCCTTGACCCTCTTCAGCCTTCTCCCTCCCCACTCTCTGGCAGCACCACCGTCCTCTTTTACAGCATCAGCAATACTTGTGTGCAGTTGGCTTCAAAATCGGAATCTCCAGCACAGTTACTCCTCCAGATCTGCTCTGTATCCTCAGCTGCACCCTTGATTATCTTTCCAGCCCTGGATGTCAACTCTCTGAAAGCCAGAGTCTCTCCTYCTGACCTGGCCATCCCATTTCTCTTCCCCATTCCTCCCATCACTGCTCTGCTAGACACATCATCCACTTAGCAGCCCTGGTCTCTTTGCTGCTCCACCTCTCTTCATCCCATCACCAAAAATCCCTTTGGTTCCATTTCTCCCTTGCCTTTGAGTGAATCTTCTGGGCACAGTCGTATGACCTCCTCAGCCCAATGTCTGGGCCCACCAAATTCTGACCCCAGTTTACATTTCTGCCCCTCCAGGACCCTATGGTCTAGCTCACCCGAGCTACCAGTGTATCACAAAATGAGTCAGACAGTTTCCTAYCTCTGAGCCTTTCCCATACAGCTCTGTCCTCCCTGTCCCATATTTCCACCCAATCACTAGCTACAGTTGTGCAATTTCTAGGAATTTGGGTGCGGGAATGACCCCAGGCAGAGTTCCAGGTCGATCCAGAGGCCCTGGAGAAAGAAAGGAGCTGCTGTGTTTGGTTGTTTCTACCCCAGACTCACTCCTCAGGAACTAGAGACCAAGAAAGACCAGGGGGCGTCTTTGAAAGAGACTTTATCCATCCTTTTTCCCTGCCAGATGCCAGCAGCTCCTCCTTGCCAGAGATGCTCTGACCCGGTGGGGACAGCGAGAGCAACACCGGCACCCAGCTGAAGGGCCCAGCTGCAGCCGGACAGATGGTGCTTGCATACCGAGGCCCAGTGGTTCTCCGGCCACAGTCCAGCCCAGCCACTGCCACTTTTCATGGGACTTAGAACTTCGGAGTTGCCATCTGTTATTGGAGGGGGGACCTGGGGCCCCTTAAGCCAGCAGCTGGTCACAGACCCTTTTGTGGCCAGGCTTTTCTCTGGGCAATGGGGAATGCAGGAACCAACCTTTCTTTAAAAAAAAAAAAAAAAAAAGAAAAGAAAAAAAAAAATCCCAGCAGATGGCTTAGGTTGGAGTTTGGGAAAGGGTAGGATAATCCTACCAGAGGCGCTCTGGCCTGCAGGTAGAGCTTCTGCCCCTCTCTCTTCCCCATTTCTCCTGCCAGGCCATGGGCTGCCTGGTTTACCCCCATCCCCTGCTCCCTTTGGGCACTCATGCCCTTTCTTCCCAAGGTCTCCTGCATCCCATCTTTTTCCTGATCCTCTACACAACTCTGTACAGAGTTTGGTGTAGGAGAGCCCTGGACAGTCAATCAGGCACCGTCTGAGGAGTGCTGGGTCACCACAAGGAGGAATCTGTCACCTGCCCAGGCCTGGCTCATCAAGCTGCTTCTGTTGAGGGCTGGCAGGGTCCCCACCCCCACCCCCACCTCACCACCCCGCAGCCTTGTCTTCACCCAGCAGGGATGGGGAGRGTGGTTCCCCCCGGAGCTGGAGGACTCTTGGTGGGCAGAGTCTTTAGTTTGGCYGAAGATAAAAGCCAGTCTGGAGTCACACACCACAGTGGTGGCTCCCTGGGACCCTGCCTTCCCAGCTGGACTCTTAGGGTGGGTGGCAGTAGTGGGAGGGGGTGGTCAGGAGTGAACCCCCTTTGACAGTGTGCAGGGATGAAGTTGGCAAAGAGGCTGCCAGCCTGGGTGGGAGCTTATAGGACTGAAGGGCTCACGGGGTGCCCTTTGCTAAAGTCCAGAAGATGACCTAAGAAGGAAACTCCGATTCTACCAATGCTTAACCGGCACCAACCACTGCCAAGGGGAAAGAGGCCGTGAGTCTCTTCGGCCCCTCCCTGGACATGGGAACGCGCTGACCTTTCCGGAGAGCTGGGAAGCCTGGGCAGGCACGAGACTCTTAGAACTTCAGAGTTGCCATCTGTTATTGGAGGAGGGACGCGGGTTTGGAAGTTTGGGAATGAGCTTCGATCTTTGGCTGGGCCCTGGTGGCATCCAGGGGCCGAGAGACAGTGTGTGCATGGCGAGGGCCTGATAGCTCCTCGTCCTGCCTGCCCCCTACGCGACTCCTGGCGCGGAGCTTCCCTAGCTCCCGAGAACAGCCAGCACCGCGCGAGCGGAGGGTGACCAAGTTTGGAAGCAGCGCACGGTGCCAGGGGCCCTGGCCTGGGGCCGCCCGCCCTCTATTGGGGAGGAAGAGCAACCCTCCCCAGTCCGCCTGCTGTCAGCGGGATGCCCAGATGGGTCTGACCCTGAGCGTCGAGGAAGAGGTCTGGGCTGTGACCCTGACCCCTCCCCACGCGGGGGCCAAGTGCACGCAAGGAAGCCGCAACTCCGTGTGTGTGTGTGTGTGTGTGTGTGTGTGTGTGTGTGTTGCTTTGTTGTTTTCTCCTCCTATGTGTGGGTTTTTTTCTTGGAGCGGTTTCATAGGAATTCCTGTAATAAAGACTTCGTGTTCTCTTGGTGCTCTGATGTGGCCAGCTGCGTGGGCTGGAACCCCCCCCCCCTTACCCGCTCTTCTCCCTTGGGGACAGGGGTTGGCCTCTGGAGATCTGTGTCAGGTCTGCAGCCCACCTGCTTCACCTGCCCCCATTAACCCCATTATCTAGGGCCCAAAGGGCTCCAGCACTTTCCCCACAGTGCTTAGGAGGTGACACCTGCTGCCCCTCTATCTAGCGTTGTAGCCTTCGGGTTTCCCCTGGGAAAGCAAACCGCTTGCTGATAAGTGGCAGAAACACCATGGGGAAAGCTAGTCTGTTGGGAAAGCTCCGGAGGGTCACCTTCCTAAATAGAAAGTTTGTGGATTAACAGAGGACGCAGACTGGAGGCAATCTCAGACTTAAAAAGGAATGCAGGGGCCTTCCAGTTTATGCATCTCTAGCTTACCCCAGCTCCCCAGCTCAGCTGGAATACCTCCCACACAGGGACAGGAAACCTGGTTGCCAAAAGAGGAAGCTGATGCCATTTTCAGACAGGGCAGTTCTCAAGGTTAAAAATGCTTCCTTGTGTTGAGCCAAAGGCCTCTTTGTAACTTTCACACACACACATCTTGTTCCCAAGTTCTGGGTCACCTGGGCCAATGTGGCTCCTCTTTCTCATGATGCCATGTTCCAGGACAAACAACTGTTCCTCCTGCCCTTCCTACAAAGAAGTTCCCCATGAGCATCTGTCTGCACCCCCATCAGACCCACTRTGCAAGGTGGGCTTGAATAATGGCATACCTGGGACAACTGGTGGTGCTGCCTGTGTTGTGTCCTAAGCAAAACAAGATTCTCTGACAATCTAATTTTGCACATTGTTTGCTGATTGCCATGGACTAGTGTAATACCCAGAGCATATCCCAGAACCACCTGGAATCTTATTAGAAATGCCAAATCTCAGTCTAATTCCAGACCTACTGAGTCAGAAATACCAGGGGYCTGGAGCCCAGCCATGATCCTTATGAACACCAAAGCAGATTAGGCTGCAGTACTAGGCCAGTCCTAGTACTGGCCACATATAATGCTTTTTAAAAAATTCCAATGCTCAGTACCCCAGAGCAGTTAAATCAATGACTTGGGATTATTTTAAATTCATTTTTTTTAAAATAAATTCCCCCAGGAAATTCAAATCTGAGGACTGAAAGACCAGCCCTTCTGTTAGGTGTTTATATTAGCCCAATTGAGCTTGCCCSGAACAGCTACAGATGTTGAAATAACAATTTAGAAAGCTTAAGTAACTCCTTTACRATTACAGAGCTAGTACTGCATTAGGCCAGAAAAGGAGACCAAGGGCTTGCTTGATTGATCCCAAAGCTGATAGGGAGTGTGTGTGTTTTGTGGTATTAGGGATTGAACCCAGTAGTGCTCTACCACTGACCTATGCCTCTAACCCTTTTTATTTTTTTTAATTTAAGTTTTTGTTTTTGCCAGAGCTTGTGTAGCACCTTCTATTCCTCTATTGCTCAAAGTGTAGCATCATCTGGGAGTGTGTTAATCACTGGTTGTGGTGGTGCATGTCTATAATCCTAGCTACTCAAAAGGCTGAGACAGAAGGATCACAAATTCAACTGCAGCTTCAGCTAATTTAGTGAGACCTTGTTTCAAAATGGGGGTGGGGAGATAAAAGAAAGAAAGAAAAAAGAGCTGAGTGTGTAGTGAGTGGTAGAGCACCCCTGGGTTCAATCTCTACCTCAAAAAAACAAAACAAAAAACCACTTATTATCAGGCCTTCTCCACATCTGCTGAACCTGCAACTTGGTCCCGATGATTCTGATACATGAACAATTCTGAGAACTACAGTTCCACAACTTGGCTACTCATATTTGGTTTGTGGTCCAGCAGCAGCAGTATTACCTGGAAGCTTGTGAGAGACAGAATCTCTGACTCTGTCCCAGACCTATTGAACCAGAATGTGCATTTGAACAACTCTTCAGATGACCTCTATGCACAATACAATCATTTGGATGCACTGGTTGCATTCCCAGAGTTCTTGATCCAATTGATTTGGGATTTAGCCTGAGAATCCAGTTGTAAAATCTCAGGTGATTGAAAAGTTTGAGGACCATATGCCATTTTGCCTGTTACTGTAGATGAGACTGAAGGTAATGGTAACCACACAGATGGAGAGAAGGAAAAAGAGATTACTAGGTTCAAAGGTGTGGAATAGGATGCAGGAGTAGACAGTCTAGGCCAGATGACTGCCTATCACCTGCCTTTGCACCCTACATGAATCTGCAATTACTGGGCTCCTGGTAGCCACAAAGTGTTTACCTTCTGCAAAAATGCTGAGCCAAGTTCTCTGCAGGCTGGTCCTTTATAGGTTTTGGTGTCCCCAGGATTCAGCCCCAAGGAGATCATGGGTCTGGAAAACACTACGCCCAGAAGAACTGGCCTGGCTATTACAATGCTGGGGTCTTAACCCTCCCTTGTTTCTCTAGAAGCACCTTATTTGGGAGTATGGGATAGGGATTAGAGAAAAAACAGGAGAATTTGGTGTGAAGAAAAAGGAGGCAGGCAAGGTATGGGATGATGAAGATAATAACTTAGCGAGAGTTTGTGGCATGCCAATCATCCTTTGGGGGTTTCACATGCATTATTATTATTATCTTTTTTTTTACATAATATCCACAACAATTATATTAAATCAGTATTACCTTTCATATACCTAAGTCAGGCAACTGAGGCTCAGAGATGTTTAAGTCCTGTTCAAGTTCAACATCTATCTTCAGTAAGTTCTAGTACCTGGATTTGAACCCAGGCAGTTGAGTTCCAAAATTGATGTTCAAATACTATGCTGTATGTTGCGGGTAAGTGGGGAGCAGGTGATAAGACCCAGAAGCCCGGCATGGATTCAATTTGTGGAGCAGAAAAAGGATCCATCTGCTCAAAAACAGCTCCACAGTGATCTGTGATCCAACAGTGTGCCTGGAACTCCCCYATTAGCATTCTTTATCTGGTTTGAAAAACAATCTCTTAGCATTTCCACTAAATGGAAAATATGCTATTGAAAGAGAAGCACATGAACTCCTTATGCCCATTATCACAGCATAGATTAATTTGTTGGATTAACGGGCTGGGCCAGCTGGGGGACGGTGGAAATTTCTGGAGACTGTGGGGATTAAAAGCGGCTGTGTAAATCTACTGCCACCTGGAGGTCACTTTGCAGAAATGGCAGTCACTAGCCAATGAAAGAAAACCATTTTTCCAGAAGATGTGAGCACCCCTTTAGCTTTAGGCCAAACAGAAGGGAATTTGTTCACATGGTCATGTTTTGTAAAATTTGCAAAACAAAGATTTGTTTAAACTTAAGAGGTAAAATAAGACTAATATTATTTAGGCCCCACAAAACCAGTGTCTACCCTGGCAGGAAGGCTAAAGCCTGGAGTTGGCTATCATTTTTAGGTAGTAAAGCGTTGCTATTCTTTTTTAAAAATACTTTTTATTTACCTTATTGTTTTCCTTAATGGCTCTGGGGACCAAACTCAGGTCCTCGGGCATACCAGGTAAGTGCTATACCATTGAGCTACACCTCAACCCTAAGAGTCACTGTCATGTCAAGAGGATTATTCCAGGGAATCTGGAGTAGTTGTGAAGCTCACTATAGACTCGGTGTAAGCAGCCTACCTAGTGTGGTCCAGTTGCACAACTTTCAATGCTAAAATGAAAAAAAGTCTCTTAAAACTTTCAATGCAAACTTAGGTGAGTTGGTATCCTTACTGCAGACTAGCAGCACTGGTGTCAACCTGGATGCTTGTTAGAAATGAGTTCCAGGCCTCACTCCATACCTATTGAATCAGACTCTGTGTTTCTTAAGATATCAAGAGGGCTCAMATGCACTCTAAAGATCTAACTTCTGCAGGAAAAAAAAGGGTCCACAGCATCCCCAAATTATCTGTCTTAGAGGGTTTCATCCTTAGTGGGATGCAAAAGACCACAGAGTGATTCTAATTGACTTTTAATTCTAACAGTAAAAGGTCAGATGATTGCTCCATGTCCCGCTGGCTCCTTGGATACAGAAAGTAGCCAAGGTGATACAGACCTTACAGGGCACGTGTTGACTTAAAGTGTTGAGCTCTCAACTGAATTCTCCTTGGAGGCAAGCCCCTGTTTGGTGAAGAAAAGAGTGAGCAGCCATGTGAAAATACCTTGCAAATTGTTAGATGGGATTTAACTGTAGGACACTGTTGCTCATAGTCAGAATTGTTATCATCCCTTGTATTTATTTAGCTGTTATTAGACACCAGGCACTGTTCTAAGCACTTTGCAGGTGTTAACCCACTGTCTTCTTGTAATAAGGCTTTCTTTTCTCTGAGKCTCAGAGATGTGAGTGCTATGATTATCTCCATTTTACAGACGACAAGGCCGAGGCCTAGAGGATTGTCAAAAAGATCTATCAGTGAGGCACAGAGGACAGGGAGAAGTGGAGAAGACCCAGACCTTGATATCCAGTGCAAGGTGGGGTGGGTGACTATTTCCACCCAACCACAGCTTTCTCTCTGGCAGTGCATCTGGGGAAGCCCTTAAAGGAAAACTGGACCTAAGAGGGTGGGCCAGCTGTGGGAGAGTTGGGATCATTGCATCCTCATTGGTCCTAACTTGGCTTGATGCATCCCTGCTGTTCAATGGGCAACTCTAAGAGCCAGCTCCAGGCCAACCAGCAGGCTGGGTTAAGGCAGGCAGAGATAAAGGCCCTAGTTTGCATTTTCAGAGACTCAGTTAGACAGACTCAGACAAGAAACAGAGTTGTGGGGGAATGAAGCCTAGGGAAGGAGGTAGCAGGTCAGGGCACTCATGCAGCTTGGCTGAATATGTAGAGGGCTGTAGAAGTGAGTGTCCCACAGGGAGTGCTCATCCAGGAGAGGGAGCAGAGCTCAACAGCTTGGAGAAAAGAGAAGGCACTTCTGGACTRGGGCTGTAGCTCAGTGGCAGAGCACTTGACTGGCATGTGTGAGACACTGGGTTCCATCCTCAGCACCACATAAAAAAATAAATAAAGAATAAAGGCATGCTGTCCATCTATATCTATATCTATATCTATATATAAAGAAAAGGCACTTCTACCTCTTTCACCCTCTTTGTCCCAGGACTCAGCAGACCTGTAATCAGACCCATAATTTTACACTATGTATTACGTATATACTATTGCTTCCTCCCTTTTAAAGCACTGAGTTAATTGCTCCCGGATCCTAGCTCTCTACGATAGGTGAGTACCAGTATCCAAGATTTCCTCAATATGCTGGAATTTTGACTTCTCAAAGGTTTTCCACTATTGGGGATGCTTTTCTTTTTGTTTGATAAATTAGCATGCACTACTTAAATAGGGCGCTATTTACAAAGATGTGGGAAGCCAGAAGGGAGAGATGGCTGAGACCCCATGGCTAATGATGGAGGGCACAGTGCATGAGCTGCACCTGATGTGAGAGAGCTCTGCATAAAGAACTGCCCACAGGGGCTGAGACTTTATGTTCCTGGACAGTGCAGGGAGGGAGCCAGGGGAATACAGGCTGACTGCATCCTCCTCCTACCTTTCCAGCCCTCTGCCAGCTCCTCCCACTGGCAGTACCAACTGGAGTCCATCTGGAAGCAGGGAGCAAACAGTTGGATCAGCACTTTTTCTTTTTTTGCAGCACTGAGGATTGAACCCAGGGCCTCATGTGCTCTAGGAAAGCACTGCATCTGAGCTACATCCCCAGTCCAACAGCAAGGGGTTAGAGGATGCTATCATAGAAGTCAGCCTCCTCTGGCATAGAGCAAGGTGAAGAATGGCAGAGGGTGGGTATGGATTTGAGGACAAATGTGGGCTGCTCAGCACAAACACTTGCCAATCAATGTTAGGGGTTAACCTCCCATTCATATTTTGAAGGGCTAACCCCCAATACCTCAAAATGTGATTGTATATGGAAATATGGTCTTTAAAAAGATAATTAAGTTGAAGTAGGATCATACCGGTAGAACTTAATACAACATGACTGGTTCCCCATAGGATATATTTTTGCTCACAGAAGAAAGACCATGAACAGACACAGGGAGATCTACAAGGCAAGGAGCAAGGCTTCAGAAGAAACCAGTCTTGCTGACACCTTGATCTTGGATTTCTAGCCTCTGGAATTGTGAAAAATGCATTAGTGCTGTTTTAGCCACCTGATCTGTGATACTTTGTTATGGCAGCCCTGGAAAACCTAACACAATCAACAAGTGATTCAGTGCATCACTTATCAATTATTTCTCTGCCTCTTCAACTCTCCTATTGGACAGCTGATATCTCTAGGACTTAGCACAGAGTCATTTAAATGCTTGTGAGAAGAATGGAACATTTCTCAATAAAATAAAACAATCAGGTAATCTATGGAATATCATCAGCCTATTGCTCACACCAGCACTCATTATGTGCCCCAGCTTTTTTCAGCCTTGAGAGACTATGGTCCCTACTCAAGAAGACAGAAAGCTTCAAATGCCTATTTTTTTCTGTCCCCAGCTGCCCAACAACTTCCCACTGCATTATGTGTGAACATTTCTTGGGTACACCTTCAAGAGTATTGCATAAGTTGCATAAGTGTCCATACAGTTTATGAACCAAATCAGAGGGATTCCAGTCAGTCATGCTCCCACAGGCCCCTGGTCTCCCCATTCTGCCCACCAATATTCTGCTCTCTGAGTTGCAGAAGCATTAAATATGAAGCTTGAGAGGGTAACCTCAAAGACTCAAAAGAGGAAGGGATCACCCCAGGATAATTCAGAGAGAAAATTCCTGCTTTGTAATTTCTCTCCCATTGAGGGTTTGGGTCTTTGGCTCCCCTTCCCAAATTTGGAATAAATAAACCCTTCTAATTCTTTAGCAGCAAAGACTGTGCTAGCCTCCAGGGTCAAGCTCTGGTGGGAGAAGGGAAGTGTGTATGTACTACTGGCTGGCAGATAGCTCTGGCTTAGACAGAATTAGAAAGTTATGAGGCCCAGGAAAACTATATTTAGCTAGGGGCATGTTTGCTGTCCCCAGAGCAACATATCCTAGACCTCCTTAGGATTAGGAGACTGGAGCCTCCACAATTGGCCCAGAGGCCAGAGCTTTGCTTTTTCTGCAGGTCCCGAGGCAGCAGTGAAGTCCACTTCTCAGTTGGGACCTAGCCCTTAGTCACTGTACCCCCTGACTCTGGGGCCAGTTTTGCTCCACCCCCCTCAGTTCTCCAGTGTCTAGAATTAAGATAGTTTAAGTAGCATCGTGGGGTCCTGGAAAGGGCCCAGGCCCTGGATCCTGCTTCTATCAGTTGCTTATCATACAGATTACTTAACCTCCCGCAGCCTTGCTTCTCATCTATAAAGAGGATGACAATAGTTACCTTGTGAGTAGGACTGTGGATTCAGTGAGATAACACAACCAAGTAGTAACTGCTCATCAAAAAGTCTCTGCCTTCCCCTCAGGGGCCTCCCTTAGAGTGGGAGGACTTTGGGATGACTTATTGGTCTTTCTTGCTGACAAAGATATTGGGAGAGAGAGAGAGAGAGAGAGAGAGAGAGAGAGAGAGAGAGAGAGAGAGAGAGAGAGGTGATTCAAGACATTCATTGGATTAAAAAATTCACACATAAATTCAAACTCTTTACAAGTCAAACTCTAAGACATTCCTAAAGGAAAAAGTCTCTGTCCCCCTCTTTTAATTTTTTCCAAGACACCCAATGTTCACAGCCTGGTTGTGTCCTCTCAGAGTTTCTCTCCTCATATAAACACAAGCACACAGATGGATGTTTTCTTTTTCCTCTACCAGGTTGTAATCCCACTAAACCCCACGTGTTTCTGCAACTTCCTTTTTTATTTAATCATAAGCCACAAGAATTAATATAAATACATATGGATCTAGCTTTTTTTATTTCAATAGCTGCATAAGTGTCCATACAATTTATGAACCAAAGTTTTCCATCAACTTTCCATTTGACGATTTTTTTTTTGCCACTACAAAAATACCGTATTGATGATTTTTGTACAAACATCCAGATTAAGTATGCTTTAATTTCTAGGGAGTACTGAAGTCTGATAACTGAGCTACACACCCGACCACATATTTGTTAACAGTTTAACACGGAGAAGTTAGTTCCCCCGGATTTTCGAGTTTCCTTCCCAGAATGTGTTATGCTTGACACTTTCACTTTTCAGGTTCCGACAGATTGCAAGCCTGTGACGCCTCCAGCGGAGGACACACCCCGTGCAAGCAGCATCCCGGTTAGTGTGGACGCGGGCAGCACTGCAGGGAGGAAGGGTTAGGTGGCGTGYGCTGAATGAGGACTGGGGTCTAAGTAACCTGGGAAAGTGTCTGCCCGTCCCAGACTGGGTTTCTTTCTGCGTAGCCTGTCCCTCTGACCTAGAGTGGGCTCAGTCCGCCCTAGAGCTAGTGATTTCGTCTCTTTATTATTCCATTGGGGGGCTTCTCATTCCTACTCTCCCCCACCATATTCCCTCTGCGCCCGAACTTCTGGTGGAAACCTGGCTCCGAAGGCCAGAAAAGGTAAAGCAAACACCATACTTAATCCCTCCCTGGATCGCTCATTTATTACTTCTACTCGTCTTTGGTTCGCTCCCTCTCTTTTTGGCTCCGCTATCGAGTGCTCCTGTCTGAACCTGGTGAGAGCCCCGAGCGCGCAGCTTCGGACCGTCTTTTGCTTCCGCCTGGCTCCGCCCCGCGGTTGGGGCCGTCGCGAAGGCTTTCGATCCTCTTTTCGGCCAGCAACTTCTGTCCCCTGTATCTGCCGTCGCCGGCGCAGGCGCCGCTTCCGGTTCCGGTAGTGGCCGGTCGTACTCTCTCCCAGGCTCGGGTCATGGCTGGGAGCCGGCTGGAAACCGTAGGAAGCGTCTTTTCGCGGTGCGTACTTGCAGCCGGGCTTGGGCAGAGGATGCGGACCTCTGCACGGGTCTCGGTGGGCCATCCCCGTCCTTGGATGGGCTTGAGCAGGGCGAGGTCCCTACACGAGAAGACAGAAAGTCTAAGTAAGGGGAAGCTCTAATAGCTGTCTCCTGGTTCGGAGTATTTTTAACTGACATTATAAACTGCCTCCCTTCCCAGTAGAGGTCTCTAGGAAGAGGAAGGGAGGAAGATCGAGGCTGATGGGCCTGACTGTACCGTCCTTGCATTTTCCGTGATGGACCCGGTGGGACGCGCGAAAGGGATTTAACCCCTGGGTGTTGCTGGGTTGATGTGGTATGTGGCAGTTCCTGTAGGTGGGGAACACCTGCCGCTTTGTCCTTCCCACCTTACATGCTGTGGACTGCCTGGTGCCTTAGGTCTTGGGCAGGCTGTTGTAATCTACTGACCTTGATTCTCTTCCCTCTCTAAGGACTCGGGATCTGCTTCGGGCTGGGGTATTGAAGGAGAAGCCCCTCTGGTATGACGTATACGAGGCCTTCCCACCGTTGAGGGAGCCGGTCTTCCAAAGACCCCGCTTGAGATATGGCAAAGCCAAAGCTCCCATTCAGGACATCTGGTACCACGAGGATCGGATAAGAGCGTGAGTGTGCAGCCTATGTGGTGATCAGAACACACCAGAAGTTAAAAAGGGAGGATTTAGGTAGCAGTCTGGTAACGAAAATAAGTTGTGGAGGTGATCTTGTATATCAAAGTCAAATTAGGGCATCAGCAGCCCTCCCTTCCCTATGGTGAGAAGAAACAGAAGTTCTTAGAAGTGGARCCTAGCAACTGACAGATCAATTGCAGTTGTAGCGGCCTGTTTTGTGCCAATTTGCTGTGCTCCAGACACAGCTAAACTCTTTTCAATTAGTTTCTTGTAGGCCTTACTCTATACCTGTAAGGTGGGTATTCTTATCTCCATTTTATCCAAGAGGACTGTGAGAGTCAAGGAGGTTAACTTCCTGTGGTTATACAGGAGGGCAGCAGCTCTGGGAATCGCATCTCTGAGAATCACATCTCTGACTCCAAGCTCATGTTGGTCATTGTGTCTGCTTCTCCGGGAGTGGAGATAGGGGATATGTGTGGTCTGTGGATCTAGTAGTTGGGATCTTTGAAGTCATTCAGAATGATGCTTAAAAGTCCAAGGGATTGGGGCGGGGGTGTGACTTAGTGGTAGAGTGCTTGGCRAGGCACTGGGTTCTATCTTGGCACCACATAAAAATAAACAAATAAAATAAAGGTATTATGTCCATCTACAACTGAAAATATATGTATTAAAAAAAAAGTCCAAGGGATTTAAAACAATCATCACTAAATTTGAAAGAAAGTTTTTACATGTTTTATTTACTTGGCCTCTGTTTTCTTTTTAATAAAAAAGTAAAAACATGCTTATTATGGAAAATTTAAAGACAAAAGAGAAGCATAAAAAAGAAAGCACAAATCACCCAAAATCCCACCATCTAGAGACAGTGATTTGAAGGCAAGCCCTGTTACTTGACTCAGCTATGTGGCCTGGGTAAATTATCCCYGTAAGCTTCAGTTTCCATATAGTAAAATATAATAATAGTACTTCTGGAGTAAAAAGGTGAATTAAGATAATGCATAAAAGTTTTTTAGTTCATTACCTGACACAAAGTAAGCCTTTAATAAATGATTGTTGTCATTAAGAASATTTGGGTCTTTCCTTGTGTTTTTTAAATATATTTTTTAGTTGTCAATGAACCTTTATTTATTTATATGCGGTGCTGAGAATTGAACCCAGTGCCTCACACATGCTAGGCAAGTTCTCTACTACTGAGCCACAACCCCAGCCCTTTCCTTGTGTTTTCTTTGTGTATGTGGAGTCTGTATATTTAATCAGTAATGTGATACAAATAAATTGTGTCCTTTTACTTAATATTGTGAGCGATTTCTTATATTACACATTTTCAAAAACATAGCTTATTGTGAATATTCTATAAACATTTCCTTAGAGTTGGATATTTATGGTGTTTATATATTATTAGCTATAATAAATAGCAATATTTTTTAATATATATCTTTATAACACTGATTGTTTCCTTAAGGTGTGTTTCTACCACTAGAGTTGATTAGGTCAAACATTGTGAAAATTTTAAAGTTTTTGCTGCTAATACCCAGTTTGTTTTAAAAAGGGTGTCCTACTTTCACTCTGTAGGGTGGAGAGTTAGTAGTAGTATCTGAGAGTTTTTTCTTTCTACCTGCCAGCACTGATAATTATTTTTAAAAGTTTTTTTCTGATCTAGATTATTTTTAAAATACTGTCTAGAGATTTTAATTTGTTTCCTTGATTAGTAAGTTTCCCCACTTTGGTGTTAATTTGCCATTAYATTTTTGTTTGAAATATCTTTTTTTTWWAAAAATCTGTTGTAATAATTATACTATTAGTCTATTTATTTTATTCTTCTTTTGCTGAGGCTGGCTTCAAACTTGTTCTCTTTCAACTTACTGAGTAGCTAGAATTATAGTCATGATCTACCGTGTCCAGCAATAATTGTAAATACTTATCAGTAAGAGGTTTTTTTTTATCATTTTAATTTTGTTTTTGAGGTGAGGTCTGGCTTTGTTGCCCAGACTGGCCTCTAACTCTTAGGCTCAAGGGATCCTCCTGCCTCAGCCTCCCAAGTAGCTGGTACCATAGGTGCATGCAACCACACTCAGCTTTCAATTAGAGTTCTTTATAGAATCAAAGATAAATATTGCAAACATTTGTTATCCATAATGCTTTTTTTAGTGTATARAAATTGATTATTTTATTCCATGAATGTTTTCTGTGATGCTTTCTATGTGCCAACTATTGTGCCAGACATTGTGCTGAGCACTGGAATATTTTATGTATTCAAATATACCAATTTTTTTCTTTCTGTTGGCCTCATTGCCCTTAGTTTTAGWGTGTTTAGGAAGATCTTTTTCAGTAAATTCAATTATCTTTTTCTGAGTTACTTTCAAAGTGCAAATTAGGTGTTGAAAGTAGTAGAAATATTTGTTCTTTAATTTCCATTTCTCCTTTCCTCTCCTTTCCCCTCAAACCTAAATAACTGGGGTTGGGGTTATACTCAGTGGCAGAGCGCTTGCCTTGCACATGTTAGGCACTGGGTTTGATCCTCAGCACCAATTAAAAATAAATAAAATAAAATAAAGATATTGTGTGTATCTTAAAAAAAAAAAAACTTAAAAAACTCCAAAACCCTAAATAACCTAAGTAACTAAAAGCAAATGAAGCTAGAGTATCCTTCCCCCTGCAGCTTGAATAGCTTAAATAACACATACTTGTTAATGGTTTGTCATCAACCTTCCTAAAAATGACTTTAAAGTCCTCTATTTTTTCTCAGTAAAGAACAATTCAGATGTCACACTCTTAGAGATTGCTCTCTGCTGCCTCCACATGTTAGTGTCTTCCAGAACATTCTGAGTACTTTATTCATATTGACCCTGTGAGGGTCTGAAGCCTGTCTTTAATAGTTCTGCATGCCAAGTACCATCTTTATCCAACAATACACATTTAGGTTTGTTTTGTGGGAGGTAAGGGGTGGGCTACCAGGGATTGAACTCAGGGGCACTCAACCACTGAGCCACACCCCCAGTCCTATTTCGTATTTTATTTAGAAACAGGATCTCACTGAGTTGCTTAGTGCTTCGCTCAGGCTGAGGCTGGCTTTGAACTTGCGGTCCTCCCATCTCAGCTTCCCATGCCGCTGGGATTAYAGGCATGTGCTACTGTGCCTGGCAACAATATACATTTATTAAGCACTACCATGGGCCAGTTACTATCTGATTTATCCTTGTAATTAGTGCCCAGTACTTGACATGGAAGTTGCTCATTAGTTTTGCCCAGATGAAGAAATTAATAGATTAATGAATGAAATAATAGATTAATTAGAATCACTCTAGTAGAGTTACTTTCAAAGTGCATATTAGGTGTTGTTCATTAATCTCCATTCCTCCTTCCCTCTCCTTTCCCTTCAAACCTAAATAACCTAAATAAATAAAAAAGAAAATCCTTGAAGAGGAAGAGTGAAGGAACAAGATTAGAATTGTTTGGAGAATAGCCAACAGAGTTTTGTGAGCTCTCTGAAGCATCTCCTGGAACAGTGGATCAGAAACCACTTCTCTGGCCACATTCAGCTTTCCCGGACATAGATCTGCACTGCACCAATCACTGAGAATTTACTGACACAGCCCTTCCCCTCAAACACTGACTTCAGTTTTAAACCTACAGTTTATTTTAAATGTTGAGATTGGTGATTGTGCCTAATTGAAGTTAATACACATCCTTTATTCTTAATCATTATTCCTGAGTGCAAGAAAATGGATTGATAAAGTCTTTACTTAATTGGGATCTAGGCTTTTCTTTCCTTTCTTTTTTTGTAATAGGGATTGAATCCAGGGGCACCTCATTACAGGTTACATTTTCAGTCCTGTTTATTTTATTTTGAGGCAGGGTCTTGCTAAGTGGCAAGGTTTGAACTTGGGATTCTGCTGTAGCCTCCTGAGTTGCTGGGGTCACAGACCTGTGCCACCAATGTCTGGCAAGATCCAGGCATCTTTTATTTGAGGACTCTTTTTTTCCACAGCATTTTCTTAAGGTGGCAGAATAAGTATGTGGAAATTTTCAGGATAGGAATGAGATATTTGGGGGAATCAGACTTTTTAGTATGTTTTTGCTTAGATCCATTGCATGTACTTGTGCAGGATGCTTTTGTGCTTCATTTATACATTGACATAATTTGTGCCTCTATGGATGGCATTGGAACTGGATGATAGGTCATTGGAGAATGTGRAATCAAAAGACAAGCAAAGAAACTGGGAAAAAATTTAGTAGCACACATGACAAAGGACTAATTTTCTATTTACGTAACGACAGGGTTTGCTCATAGACCAGTAAGCAAAAGACCACTATTTTAGTTTGGGTTGCTATAAGAAATTTTGTGGCCTGGGTGGCTTGTAGACAACTGAAATTTATTACTCATAGTTTTGGAGATTAGAAAGTCTGAGATCAGAGTTCCGGTAGGACCCCTCTTCCCAATTCGAAGAGGGTCCTCTTGCTGWCCTCACATGGAGGCAAGCAGGGTGAGGAAGCAAACCCTCTCCTCTTCTCTAAGGGCACTAATCTTGTCATGCGGGTTGTACCCGTGGCCTGATAACCTCTCAATGGTCCCATCATTAAACCTTGGGAATTAGGGTTTTATCCTAGGAATTTTAGGGGACACAAACATTCAGTCCACGGCAACCACCAAATAGAAAAGAGCATAGATAGTTCACAGAAAAGGAAATTCAATTTGCCTTTAAACTTGAAAAGATCACTAAAAAACAAAAATAAAAACAAACAAAAAACTAATAATCCCTGCTACTTGAGAGTCTAAGGCAGGAGAATCACAAGTTTGGGGTCAGCCTGGGTAAATTAACAAGACCCTGTCTAGAAAGAGAGAGAGAGAGAGAGAGAGAGAGAAAATAGAGAAGGAATGAAAGAGCAAGCCTGGAGGGTGTAGTGTGGTGGAGTGCTTCCTAGGAAGTACAGATCCCAGGGTTCAGTCTTCCCTACTGCAACAAACAACTAGAGTGAGGTATGATTTCTCAGCTATTAAGCTGGCAAAGATCAAAAAGTTGGAATATAATAGCTTGGTCTGGATACAGGGAGACAGGCACTCCTACACGACTGGTGTGACTGTAAATTGGTACAGCTGCTTTGGAAAGCATTTGGCAGTTTGGAAGGCTAATTTACAAATGCATATATCTCGATCCAATAATACCATTTTTGTGTAAATTTAATTCACAGACTTATGTGCACAGTGCAGGAGGAACTATAGATACAGATAATTCTTGTAGCACTGTCTAGAGCAGCAAAGAACTGGAAACATTATGTACTGATTTGAGATAATTGTTAATAAGACAAGACATTAGGAGTGGGAAATGCATAATGATTACAGGGTCTCTTTTGAGGATGATGAAAATGTTTTGGAATTAGAAAGCGGTCATAGTGATTATACTAAATGTCGCTCAGTTGAGTAAATTTTTATGTGAACTTTACTGCAATTAAAAAAAAATAAGATATAGAGCAGGATCTCCCATTCTTTGGGAATGTGACTATGACAGGGAATGATAGATGCTGGTGTGGGATATTTCTGGGTGGATGTGCAAGAAATTGGTTCATGTTGCTTCCTGAGAGAGGACCTGGGAAATTGGGGTGCAGAAGGGAGAGGGATATTAACTCTTTACTTCCCATGGCCTAGAAATTATTCTGTATTCCTTCCGCCCTGCTGTCCACAATCTATAATTGGAGATTTATATCATATTGTTTGTATTTTCCAGGAAATTTTATTCTGCCTATGGGTCTGGCCAAAAAGCTTTTGATCTGTTCAACCCAAACTTCAAGTCAAACTGTCAACGGTAAGCCATTTTCAAGCTGTGAGTTACTCCCTACTAGGATTTAGTCATCAGTCTGAGGAGTTTTGTTGAACTTTACTTCAGAAAAAKATGTAGTGCTTGGTGCTGTGTAGCACATATCCTGAGTGCCCTGCACACAGACCTCAGGTGTGGTTGCTTGGGATTCCAGGTTTGTGGAGAAGTACATTGAGCTGCAGAAGCTTGGAGAAATAGATGAAGAGAAATTATTTGTGGAAACGGGGAAGGCTTTATTGGCAGAAGGTGTCATTTTAAGACGAGTAGGAGAAACAAAGACTGTGAGTACTTTATTATAAGATTGTTACTGTTGGGCTCGGGGTGTAGCTCAGCGGTGGAGCACTTGCCCAACCTTTGTGAGACCCGGGGTTCTACCCTCTACACTGAAAAAAAAGAAGCTGGTRTTAAAATGGGTTTTGTTCCTATTTGACAGAAATTAAAGGGGAGTTTGTTTGTTTTCTTTTTTGCAACCTTGGCTCATATTCTAAAACTTAAGAGCAAATACTGTTAGATTGAATGTACTGGAATTTTGTGGTAATGACTGCCATTTAGAACAAGTGAGTTGTCATTAGGACTCTTGAAATTATGATTCTGTATCAATTTTTATCATATTTACTATTTGTCATTACAGAATTTGTTAGTGCTAAATTTTTCAGAATGTGTCTAGTCATATGGCTCTAGGCAGTTAATTGAGTGGAAATGATAACATCTGTGTTACTTATATCTGGTCTTTTAAGCAGCAGGAAGGTAGTCACATTTCCTGGAAATCTGAACATGCAAGTGTCACACCTCAAACTGCATTGGAAGGAAACCAACCTCAGAAAGACGTTGCCCAGGACCCGAATTTGGAGACACCTGAAGTGCAGTCTAAAGGTCTCTCCCCTCCCTGAAGGACTGGTGTACTGTGAACATTGACGGACAGCTGTGCTCACTGGATGAGTGCTGAGCTATTTTTAACAGTTGAACTATGTAAATGTTTCTTGATCTCTAAGGCACTGTGTTTGCCTTGTCTTAGTTCCTTTTTCCGGATTGTTATAAGCTCAGTATCATGGTTTGAAAGAAGCAGTTTTGTGAACTTTCAGGACATTACTAAATAAAGGATTCCCTGGCTGCTTATAGAGTAAATTTACTTTGAATTTGTAAATAACATGAAGAAACCTTCATAAAGATTGTTTGAACGGGCCTTGTTCTGAATAGGTTTGCTCAGAGGTGTGTGTTAGCATGTGGCTGGCTGCATTTGATTCTCAGACATGAATCTTGTCTGGATCCTTCAGGTTTTTACTTGCACACGTAGTGTGCTCCCTTGACAGCTGTTTCTGTTGGCAGATAATCTTGGTACTTTTTGCCATAAAACTGTTAACTTCAGCTCAAGAGTCTGAGCTGACCTGTGCTTTGTGGGGAGAGTGAGGACCTGTCTTTAGACAAAGGTCAGAACTTGAATTTCATGGATTAAGTGTGTTGGAGACAGTTGGCTTAAGCCTGCACATAGTAGACTGCTTGGAAAATGTCTGTTGAATGAGTGAATGAATGAATGATTACACCCAACTCAAGACTGAATTTAAATGGTGTCTCTGGAGATCACTGGATCGCCCGGGTGGTGGGGGGCATCTAATTCAGATGTACTCCATGAACATCTTCCCTCCCTCATCCTCACTGGCTGGACATATGAATTGACTTTCTCATTTCCCTGGATTTTACTAAATAAATGAAACATTCCTCTGTTATTTGTGAATAAGTTGCTTCCAAAATTTCTTTGTTTTAAAACCGGTGTAGCATTTCTCCCGATTGTTCTGTGTGTGGTCTTCTGGTAGGCTGAAAGAGGGTCTGCCTCTCACAGCACCTCTCACRGGTGCTCAGTGCATGAAGGCCATTGAGTCCATGAGGCAAAAGCAATTCTCAGCTGGGTTCCCCTCACCCCACAACATTTGTCACTGTTTTACAATTCCTTGTGTTTAAGGAATACTTCACTTTTAGATGGGGGAGTAAATTTCATTCATTCAAAGACTGAGCAGTTGGGTACTGAATATCTGGCCAGACCTTGGGAAGAGGATCTAACAAGCAGGTGAACAAGGTAGTAACACTTGGGGGAGTAGGGGAAGTCATACTATGTCTCTAAAACTCATGATTCTGTTTTTTTTGCTTTTATTTTTAAGTTGTAGATGGACACCATACCTTTATTTTATTTATTTTTATGTGGTTCTGAGGATTGAGCCCAGTGCCTCACATGTGTTAACCAAGCACTCTACCACTGAGCTATAACTCCAGCCAATGTTTCGGGGTTTTTGAAAAAGCAGTTTCTTTACCACAATGATGAAGACTTTTGCTACGAGGGATTGATTGAACTCAGAGGAGCTTAGCCACTCAGCTACATCCCCAACCCTTTTAAATTTTATTTTATTTTGAGACAGGGTGTCACTAAGTTGATTAGGGTAGTCACTACATTGCTGAGGCTGACTTTGATTGAACTTGCAATCCTCCTGCCTCAGCCTCTCTTGTTACTAGGATTCCAGGTGTGCACTACCATTATCAGGATATAGAATTTAAAGGTAAAAAGTCCCATCCCTATTGCTCAGTCACCCATCCTCACCCCAGGCTACCATTTCCTTGTGTGACCTTGCAGAAATATTTGAGTGTATATATGGAGTCACTATGCACACTATATTGTAYGTTATTTTTTGCAGTTAATATGTCTTAGAGATCCTTTGCCCTGATGTTTTKTGATTCAGCCAGTGCCCAATTGATGAGAATAATCGTTTCTGTTTTACTGAGCTGGAAATGGGCCAGCATAGTATAGTGTGCAGGGGTCAAGGAAAAGCCCATCTTCAATTTTTGTAATTTCTCTCGTAGAAACTGTGCTCAGTTCTGTCCTTACCAGCAATTTAAGAGAATACTCATTCACCCCACATTTTGATCTTGTTAAATGAGATGGGCTCAATGTGGCAGRCCTGGGCCTATAGAGGGGTGAGAGACTGACTGGCAGCAAACCTCTGGAGGGGAAGAAGGCTGCTGTCACACACTGCCTTCTTCCCKTGGAGTCTCAGTGGTGGAAACGTGTGAAAGGTATGAAGCTTTGAGAACCTTTTCCACAGTTTGGGCAAAAGCCATTATCTGGTCCCTACAGTGTTCTTGAAGGGAATGGAAGCGTGACATTCTTGCCTTTAAAAAGCTGAAAATGAAGTTGGGAAGACAAGGGTGACTTGAGAACAGCAAGAACCTTTTGAATCATGATATAAATATACTGCAGAGGCTCCTGGGCGAGAGACCAGCCCTGCACTAGTCCAGGCGTCCTGCATGTAAGCCTGGAAGGGCGGGCGGGGATGAAGTGTGTGCACTGTCTCTTCTGCCAGAGGCACTGTCCTTGCCACCAAGGTCTTCAGGGGGCAACTTAAGTGGCGTTTCAGTTGGTGTCTGCTCAGAACCTTCTCTTGTTTGTATCCAATGTCAAGTCCCTGTTGAACTCCCACACAGACAGCACTCATAGGCACTTCCCTTAGTAGACCTGGTCTGCTATCTCTACTCCTGCCTGATGTACTGTGGCCTTCATTCCATATCAAGAGCATAAATAGGGGCAGAGATTCTCAGCCAGTCTTTTAGGAACACACCCTCCTCCAAGCAGAGGACGTGTGTATCCAGGTTATAGTGAATTTTGCACAAGTCAGAAAATCTGGGTATTTGTGGATATCCAGTTTTTACTGGTGTAGCCCATTGTCAGTCTTCAGCCTATGAAATAAGGAGAGTGATTGCTTTGTTGGTGACCAGTTAGTGTTGTGAGGGTTGAGATAAGGGGTACGAAGTTCACCCATCACGTGTAACTGGTGCTTTCATTAGTATTTTGAGTAGTGAAAAACGGGTTTGATGGATAAGGTGGGATCAGATCATGGTGGCCTCGATAGACACATGAAGGAGTTCAACTGGGATAAAGAATGCAGTTGGGGGAGTGGGTAGGGAGGCCAAGGAGGAGACAGCTATTCCAAGTTACAAACCCAAATGATTAGAAATCTAGCAGTGTCACTAATAGACAGGGAAGAGGAATCTGAGTTTCAGGAAGAGAGCTTCAGTTCTGCTAAGTTGGAGGTGATAAATGCAGCAGTGTCCAAGTGACAGACGGGCTGTGGGACAGGTGTCTGGAGACAGGGAGGAAATTCCCATACGGGGGTCAGGTTTGGAGCAAGGAGAATGATTGAACTCTCTAAGGAGGATGGAAAGACACAGGATATAGGGACTGGCCAGGTGAGTGCTCTTAATTAAAGGACAGGAAGGAGAAAAATGGCAAAAGAAAATGACTCCTACATCTTCCATCATCCCAATACCAAGGCTTGTTTAAGTGGTTCTGGATCCACTGGGTTGTACAGAGTTCTGCCTTTGCTTTTGTTGGGTAGACCTGATTCTTGCTTGGGGGTCCTTAGAAAACTAGCCCAATTAAAGAAGAAAAAATTTCCCTCCAGGCCTGGGGCTTGATCCTAGGGCCTTGTGCATGCAGGTAAAYATTACTGCTGAGCCACATCCCCAGGCCCTTTTTTATAGTTTTCTTTCTTTTTTGATAACTTTATTTTTATGTGGTGTTGAAGATCGAACCCAGTGCCTCACATRTGCTAGGCAAGCACTCTGCCACTGAGCCACAACCCCAGCCCATGTAGTTTAGTTTTCTTTGTGTTGTACTCTTTGCATCCAGAGGATTTGATTTTGTTAAAATGATGCCTTTCTTTTTAAATAAATGATGACTTGCCCCCTTAAAAGCATCCAGCAGATTTCCTGTTTTGAAACAAATTCAAGAAGGATGATAAAAGTATCTGAGGTTAGTACTGGTACCCGCCTCGGCTCCTGAGGGTCCAGATGTGGCACACAGGAGTCCTTGGAACTCGTGCATCCTCCTCAGCTCTAGGCTATATACCAAGCCTGCTTCCTAACTCAGAGCCGGGATGGCAGCTGATTCCATGCGGGTTGGGACATAAGACATAAAAATGAAAGTGAACTGGCACTGTCGCATCCGGAGCACAGAGCACTGTGGAGCTAGGAACAAGGAAAGGTGAGTCAGGTCAGGGTGGGGRCAGGGAAGTGGGGCCTTTACTGTGTTCCCAGCTCTATTCCAGAATAACCAAAGGTGGAAGACTGGCTCTGGCTTGGTGAGTGGTGTTTCCAGCCTCTGACTGCTCAGTGAGATGAAGGCTCTGAGCAGGTTCAGAGCAACTTGCTTGAGGTCACCTTGGCTGGCAGAGGAAGGGCACCTGCCCTCCTGTGGAAAAGACAGGAAATGGCATTCATGTCACTCCTAGGGTGGCCCTCAGTGTGGCAGGCAGGTCTCTGATTGGATGAGTCCTGCACTGAGGCAGTTTGTTTGGAGATGCTGAACCAGGCAGGTGGTTACTGTGGCACAATAATGAGAAGGTTGCTAGGGGAGGGCGAAGGAAACAGAAAACAAGGTGTTATGTCCCCTAAAAATGTCACCACCATCACCACCTTCCTTCCATGAATAAAGAGAGTTTCATTGCTAGCTGACAATGAAGCTACATTTCGAGTGTAGTTTTTTACCCTTGATTGACGCTTTTCATGGACTGTAACTTAAGTAAACATCAGTCTCCTGACCTTCTAATTGCTCAGTTCTTTTAATTAAAAGATAATTCTAACCAACATCAAGTAGTGGTCTATTTATTATTTATCAAGCATTTTCCTTCCAGCAGTTAGTGAAAGGTCAGTGGCTTCAATGGATGCTTTGTTTTTGGTGAGCAGTTTAGATGAAAAAGATATACAATCAATCTCAGCTCCCTCCTGTTTGCTCACGGGCAGGACACTGTTTAATAGTCATTTGTGGCATTTAGGATCGCAGGCCTTGGAAACATGCAGAAAAGTGCATGTGCATCCCTTGCTGCTGAACATTTCTCCAAAAGTAAACATCAGGTTGTGATTATGGTTAATAATGAGGTATTGATTGTCTGAGAATGTCACGGCCTGGGAGCATCCAGCTCCAGCACCACTAGATGGCGCTGTACTCTTGCTGTTCAACTAGTATTTTATTTCCTTGCCTCAGGGTACCTTGCCTTTCAAGGTTGGCGAGTGTCCTTGTAAAATAACATTCTGGCTGAGATTTAGGAAGCTGAGGTCCTGGGGTGTTTTTGAGA